GTGAAAATCCCTCGACATCAACAACCTTTATCCTGGAGCGTGTCAACGCCGGCTTTCCCACTTTTGCATAATAGGCTTCGAAAGTATTCGTTTTATCAGGTGAAAACACCTGAACCATATCGGAGACTCATTACACAATTAAGATTTTTTTGCGTCAGAATTTACTGTTCTTATTCAGAAGCAGTAAAGTTCCTACGAGAAAAGTCAGCATCGCAGGTGACGGCGGCAGAACTGACTCGATGTTACACATGTTTGCGTAATCTAATTACTTTTTAATAATTAATACTAATCTGTTCTCGGATTAATACAGAATGTATGAACGTGTCAGAATTTAACAAATAATTATTATTAAACCTGTGTGCGACATCAACTGCTGGCGAATAATAAGAGGAGCTGTAACCCGACGCCCAGACGTTCCATACATTTCAAATTATTTAAAATAATTAGTTTCTCGATAGACGAGCTTATAAGTTTAAATCATTCAGTTACTATAATATTTAGCCAATTGAGGCTTTTTGCTGATCTGAACGTTATAAGCGATCAACTCAACATAACTCTTAGTTGTTTAAAATACAAAATCAATATCATGAATTTTAATTTATTTTTATACGATTGAAAACTGAGCGATGTGATTTGTCATTGGCGTTAAAAAAATGGTTAATGCAGAACCGGTCGAGATGTATTCATAGGCATTATCAAAAATTGGTCTCGACTCCATTTTAGTCCTTTCGTAAATAAATTTTATTATGTTAGGATAAATTAAATAAAATAAATTCCACTATAAAACTATTTATTGAACAATTCTTTCTATAATAAAAAAGTAAGCAAATAAACAAATACTTTCCTATAATTAAAAAAAATAAAAATAAATAAACAAATACTTTCCTAATTATAAAGCCAAATATGTTTAATTATTATTATTATTTTTTTTAAACGAGCTTTGTCTATATACAAAATAAAATAAAAAAATATATAACCTAATTCTCTTCTGGTCAAAACTATGAGCTCATAGCTTTTGAAAAATTATAATTCGTACTTACGATATAAAAAAACTAATTTACACACTTCTTCTTTTCTGGTTTGCGCAGACACTTACAGGTCACTTCTCTCGTCCTTTCCGTTTCTCGCTCGAAACCCGACTCCGCCACCATTCCTCATAGAGCCACTCTTCCTTTTCCAATTGTCTCGCATTGAACGATGGGATATTCGAGCAGTAGGGGCTTGGCGACAATTTGAAAGTTCGCCGCTATAATTTCTAATCCTCTAGTACACAGATGGATCTAGAACACAAGAAGGTACGGTGGCAGGAGTATTTGGACCCGGAACCAAATACTCAGAACCCATGGGAAAACACCAATATCTTCCAAGCTGATTCATGCAATTGAAAGATGTACCCAATTCAAACTAAGAAAAAGGTAAACAAGAATATAGCTATCATGTCAGATAGGCAAGCAGCCATCAAAGCACTAAGCTCAAGTATCGTTAGTTCAAGGATGGTGCTGAACTGCAAAACCAAATTAAACATGTTAGGTATGAAGAATAAAGTCAGCCTCTGCAGGGTCCCAGGGCAGATCAAGAAGGGCAACGAGAAAGCGGACACCCTTGCAAGGAAAGGGGCTGCCACACCACTGATAGGACCCGAACCCTTCTGTGGCATAGGAATCCACACTATTAACGAATATCTCAGACAGCAGGACAAAAAGAAAATGAAGGAACAATGGAATTAACTCATTGGACATAAACAATCCAAGAATCTTCTAACCAATTTTGATAAGAAAGAAATCACAGAATGTGTCAGAGGAAGCAGGAACAGACTGCAAATCCTAACAGGATTCATAACAGGACACTGCAGACTAAATGGACACTTAAAAAAAATTGGAACAATCCAAGATGGCACATGTAGCACAAGGAGGCAGAAGAGACACCAACACATTTACTAACAAACTGCGGAGCTACATTAGCCCGCAGGAGGAAATGTTTTGGGATGTATAGTGTGACCATAGAAGAGCTTCAACCACTGAAACCGGGCCTATTAATAAAGTTTCTTGATGAAATAGGACTCACCGATGTGCTTTAGGCAGAGTACGGGGGATACAATAGCTCTTAAAGGGCGCAGTATACCATACCCTGAAAAATTACATCTACACCTACATCTACCAATAAATTTCTAAACTCTTTTAATGTAAAATTCATTAATTCCAATAATAATTAAGTATATTATGAGAACAGTCAAACATAGCCTCTAACGAATATTTAACTAATTAACATAATTAATTTTACATTTAACACCATTCTCCTACTTAATTACTATTCCTCACAATTGGTAAAATTCACAGACAATTGTTTGATTTTGAATCAACAGACAAAGTTTTAATGATTCGGGTAGGCGAGAATAACAAAAACAGGATTTTAAATAGGCATTAACAAATTAATTAAATTCCTGTCTACCATTGAAAACCATTCATTTATGATGAATAATTTATAAATAATTCAATGTTATTTGACTACTGATTGATAACATTACGCATGTTGATTATATACCATAATGGATATACATTTTTCAATTTGCTGGTCTGAAGCTTTGATACATTGACCATTTGGTTCGTTCAATTTTGTTTTTCTGACCAATTGCCCATATGAAATGTAAACAAATAGTGTTCAACTCAAAAAAAAAATTGTCTTTAAGATCTATAGATATTAAATTGTCACCAATATTTAGATGTTTTGGAGTAGCTAGTTTTGAACTCGATATTTGATAGAAATTAAAACTAGTGGCTAACAAAAAGAAGATGTTTTATTTATAACTTCCTTTATCACAAATTAAGTGGAAACTATTTGACTGTTTACTTGAAATATGAGTATTTAACTTTTTTATTTTATTTAGTATCGGTTATTGTTTTATTGCACAAAGCCCATGCTTCCTGTTGCTGTAAGTTTCGCGCGTGAGGGAAAACAACATTTCCAACTGAGATTTTCCGTTGTGCTCAAACTAATTAACAGCATTTTGTCGGAATCCTGCTAAATTATCTCCATACCCCCCGCATACCAACACTTTGTGTAACCTGAGTATTTTTTTATGAATTGCCTTTGATAAGGGCCTTCTTTAACAAAAGGCTCTTTTCAATAGGAGTCCTGCCGTTTTCCTTGTTCTGATCCCGAACGAATTTCCACGAAAGTACTTTCCTCTTATTTTTCGCGGCTGTTGCAAACGCTTTTTCCCCCTTCAGCAGTCCTCGAATACAATCGTATATCACAATTAGATAAGTAGGTGCGAAGTGTTATTTATTAATTGCGATTGAAGAAATCTTGAGTTGATGAAAAACGGCAACAACGCACCAGCGAGTATAAAGAGATTTTAACGGTGATCCATATCGATCATCAATCAAAAGTTGATTCATCATCTTATTCACGCCCCCTTTTTTAATCTCTATTTGTAAAACAAGTTTACTATACTAATCTAAAGCCAAATATAAAAGGTTTTCACCTTAAGCAATTCTCGAAATATTTATTCCGAAATCGTGAGATGCGGTCTGGTGTGATGTAGGTTTCAGAAAAATATTTCCTTTAACGTGCCAACGTTTCGATCTTTATTAAGTTCATCTTCAGGGCTCAAAGTGTTTGCCTCAACACGACATGCAAGAATGACACAATTGCACAGAAGACAAACATTTTGATCCCTGAAGATGATCTCAATAAAGATCGAAACGTTGGCACAATAACGAAAATGTTTTTCTGAAACCTACATCACACCAGACCGCATCTCACGATTTCTAAATAATTATCGATTAACGGTCACTAATGGCCACAGAAATTATCGAAATGTTAAGAAGGAACACTTTTTCGATTTTTAAATGTTTCTACGGCCTGCTCTTTCCTCATTATTGCGATATAAATCTTACATAAACAACAATTCAACCTTATTTTAAAAATAATTATTTTTTGAAAACAAACAGGAATGTATATCATAGAATATATATTTTAATTAATTATACTTTTTATCTAACGTCTTGGTTAAGATAAGAAAGTTAGTGTCACGAGCGGGATTCGAACCCACGTTATTCGGCGACCATCACGATACCTCAATTGCTAGAAGCAGCGGCGCATTGAGCCGAAGGTTGTCGGTTCGAATCCCGCTCGTGACTACCTTTTTCATTTCAGCTAAGATCTTCGTTAATAGTATAAATAATTAAATAAATAATGGGTGAATTATGACTATTAAATACGTATAGATTAATTTAATTTTGTTATTAAACCTATGCTTCTTGGATAAAAATAAACCATCGGATAGTTCACTAATTTTATATAATGCCGTTTGTCGCATAATTTTTTTTTAATTTATCATTTTTTTAATTAAAAGCAGGTAAATAATTTTTCAAAATCTTACATAACATGAAGTCTCTTGTCTAGCATTAACGTTCACCACTACAAAATTAAAAACCAATTTAAATAAACGATTTTTTTTTTTGTAGAATTACACATCAATTGCGTATAAAAATTAAGACGATTTAATATCTGAATGTCGTTGGCCATTAATTGTTCGTTTTACACTATACAATATTTTGTATGTACTTTTTAATTTATTTAATTTCTTTATTATCTTTTCCGTAACAAATTAAACCAATTTTTATCAGTATTATAAAATAGATATTAAACTGTAAACCTACTATTTAATGGTAACTTTAAAAAAGTTAATTTAAAATAAATAGAATAAATTTTCACATTTACGAGGGTTTAATAAAAAACAATTACTCCTTTATTAAAATAATAAAAAAGCATTTTTAAAAGGATATTTCGGTAAGTAACTTTAAAAAATTATTTTACCTATGGAAGTTACATTTGTTGTGACTTTGATCTAATGTTTTTTTGTCAACAAATTTGACATAAAACTTTCTGATTAACTAACCCTTTTTAATTTTTCTGTAGAATTAGTGGTGTGCATGGCATGATTGCTTAATTCATTTGACTCGTCCATAACATAAACCTTTATTGTTTTTGGGCAGCGTTGTATCAGTTAAGATGCTGCAGACTCTAAACACGCTGGCGGGTAAAATATCTCCACACAGCAACAGCGTCCCGGAGGCGAACCAGCGGGTCATCAACAGCCACCTCCTGAATAACAACAACAATAACAATAACACCTACAATGACAAGTGAGTGGCCCGAGCATGCGGGAAAAACCATCCAATAAATAATTATCGTTATAAATGTGTCGTTATGCATGTATTTTTCGGTTGTATGCGTGGTATTTTTTTATGTTAATATGATTTTTGCATGTATAACCTGTGACATTATAGCTTGTAAACGAACGCTATGCTTACAAAAAAGGATATTTTCCGGTTTTCTTGTCAAAAATATTTACTAAAAGTTAAGCTAAATTTAAAAAAAATAGATTTGGTACAATAGTGAATATAATGGTGATTAATAATTAGTCGATATGATTGATATCATTCTTTTATATGCCGTTCTGTACTAAGGAGCTTTGATAAGGCCATATTTATGATCAGTTAATACGAAATTATGATAATTACCTTTGTTTTCAATACAAAAATGAATATATTTACTTTTAAACTAAATTCCTTAAACTTTTGTATAAACCAAGAAAATGAGTCTATTTTTTGAAAATACGTTTTACAGATTCTTCATAATAAACTCGTGTAACTACTTTGACTGCAAGTAACAGTTAAAGACCTGCTGTCATTTTAATGCGCAAATAAATGAACAAATGTAGAACAAAAACAAAGAAATTACCATATAAAGAAATAATAATTGTTTACATCTAATTTCTAATCTAATCTATATCGGGGGGGGGGTGTCCGAAACCGTAAAGGCGTTGGCAATGCTCTCACACCGGAGGTCCGCTGTTCGAATCCAGCGGCATCCAACATTCAAACAACATTAGAGCTTTATTGGTCTAAAAACACCGACATGCCAGGGTTTGAATGTCCCCCTACTTTTATAAATCCCTGTAAACAATAATAATAGTAATAATATATAATATACACTTATATATATTATATATAAGTGGGAAGTTTATGGGCCAACAACCGCTGAGGTCATCGCCGGCCCTCTGCGTGTTTTCCATCTTTTTCTTTTCTTTCGCGCATATTTTGTTTTAAACTGCAGCCATTTGAGCATCTCGATCTGGTTACTCACTCTCTGATTTCAGATATATACTACGTTGATATTCTAGAATGCTAGTCTCTCGTTTGTACCTCAGGTTGTCACATACAGAATAAAAACAAAACATACAATACATATATATACATCATATACATGACAAACATAGATTTCTGGTCATATTCATTCCCCCAGAGTACTCGATATTCCTTGGGGCGGGTTATAAGCAATCCCATCCTTTCACGCTAATAAATTACTTTTACTCTCCAGACGTCATACACTCACCCCAGAGTACTTGATATTCCTCGGGGCGGGGTTTAATCACGCCTTCCTTTCATGCTAATAAATTACATTCATTCAAATCAATTAACATAAAGTCAAACACAGGCACATAAAATTATATACATTTAAAAATCCCTATAGCCCTGATGTACCGGAACAGCGATCTGTGCCCGCTGCCGTGCCTCAAGGCTACACACAGGTCCGATGATATGCCAAAATATTGTCTATATACATCAAGCCTTCTGCACTNTAAGTTGATACACAAAATGTTAAAAAGACAAAGAATAAGGACGTTCGTACGTCTTGTTGACAGTGAAGATCTGAAGATAATTTCGTGCTTATCTTGATTGGAGTCTGGCAGCCACTCGCCGGACGGAGTCAAAGGTGCGTTCGTTCGTACCCGTCGGAAACCAGGGAGCGACTGACTGAAGGCAGCTGATGTACGTTCGTGTGTACAGGTTGAAACCCAGGGAGCGACTAACTGAAGATAGCTTATGTACGTTCGTACGTACAGGTCGAAAACCAGGGAGCGACTGACGGTTTTTAGGACATCTTGCTGAAAGTGACTTGTTTATCCATCCTTGCGTCTTGATTTTTACAACTTATCGTTTTTTTTTAATAGTTTTTTAAAATGATAAATTATTAATGTAAAAAAATGTTTACACTGGCGTAAACAAGTGTCTAATATTTGGTGTAGTAGAGTGTAATAATCTCGATTCCTGATTTTTTGAACTTGGACTGATAAGACTGAGGTGACCCTGCCCCCGAACCGCTAAAACACCGCCATATATACATTATATATTACAAATTATGTAATAAATACATATGTATGTAAAAAATTAATGATTCAATTCACCCAATCACATAACCGTAACATTACATAAGAAACTGGTGAGATTACTTTAAAAAATTGGATGGGGGGCTTTCGCTTCCTTCCCTTTCTACACAAGGGTACAACTTATAACAGGATTTTCCCGTACGGTGAATATAAAGTTGTTCAGCGCCTGTCCGGGTTAACTCGAGGGCCAGGGGAAAAAAAGGGAAAAATGTATTCCGGAGGCGGTTAAAGTTAGAGAGGAAGTAAAGTAACGCGGCAGGGGTCTGTCAAAGTTTAAACCGGAGTATGTGACAAGAAGACATTGCAATATTTCCCTGAGGGACAACTTGAAATAATAAGACATCGTCCTATGACAGACAGTTGCCATTTACCAACCCAGGACCCGGTAAAACTGATAACCCTCCGCCCATCTCATTAACTCGAAATATCTCCCTACAATATGCAACTTACATTTGTCAAAAAAATTGTAGATGTATCCATTTTTTCCTTAAAGTTGTTCTTCATATAATCAATGGTCAGGCTTGTTAAAACAAAGAACAATAACAACCTCTTCCATATAAAGAATATTTTTATTATTATCACATGTCTCTTCAGCTTAACTTTTATTAACTTTAAAAAAAGGTGTTACTTCTTTTTTCTTCAAGAAAAAAAGAAAGAAAAAGGAAAGTTACTATTTTCAGTGTGGAATATGATGAAGTTCAAAACATTCACACTTTAATGTACCAATTATTTTTGAAATGATAAATTTTAGTTATCGCTGTTAACTGTAATAGTTTACAAATTTGACAACTAATTGTCAAAACAATCTTTTCTTGCAAAATTTAATTAAAGAAATTGAAAACTTGGTGTTACTAATCATTGAATATAAGTAAAATAGAACTTATTTATTTAAGTATAAAACAAATTAATTATTTATTTTAGATATAATAAACCGAACATAGGCGCGATTAACAATTTAAACGCTGAAATGGGATTCGCGTTGTAACACCGTTTGAGTTGTAGAAACCATACTAGATCTGAGGGATACCCGTAAAGTTTCTGTCCTAGTAGAACGGCCTTTGTAATAAGTAATAAGATTAAACAGGCGAGAGCAGAGGCAAAGGACGAAATTACATCTAAACAATCGCAGTACTTGGTTTAGATTATTTAACTTTCTTATTTGGAGGAAAGAGATTTGAAGAAATCTTCCCCAATTAGAGTTTTTCTTAATATCCAAACAATCAAACTTTAATTGTCCTTCATTAGCAAGAAAATTTATAGCCAAAACACGATGATACATTTTTTTTAAAATCATCTTTAGAATTGTATTTCACACGACAAAAAAGTACTTTAAAAAAACTGAAATGCTTCGATTTTCTGGACGTGGTTTGTAATGAAGGGCCACCATTATAAGGCCGTTTGATTGCTGTAGCCAAGCGAAATCTGAGGGTGGCCGGCAAAGTTCGGCATTAATAGAACGGCCTTTGTAACAAATAATAAGATTAAACAGCCGAGCGGAGGCAAAAGGGAAATTACATCTGAATAATCACTGAATTTGACGTTAATTATGGAGAAACTGCGCATTGCTATGTTTGGCGTGAATTTATCTTAAGAGTACAAAAGACGGTCCAGATCAAAGGGAAAAGCCCGTGGAAATCGTACTTCACCGTATTTCATACATGTGGCAGTAGAGGGCCATTTTCTTCACAAGTCTTCTGGCTTAGAATACAATAATTGAATGCAAATGTCGACAAAATGCGCATAAGGTAGAAAACGAAGGTCTTATTCTCGCTTTGGCTCACTAGCCCTATCACACTTTATCCATTAATTTGTTTATTTTTATTAACTTCACTAGTTTTCGTGGTCCGCTAGACCAATTAATATCTTTCAATTCATTAAAGTTTTTAGTTGAGATAAAAAAGTCAGTGTCACGAGCGGGATTCGAACCCATGATCTTCGACTAGATACGCTGCTAGTGGACCACTTGAGTTATCGTGACTTCGATCCACTCGGACACTAACTTCCCATCTCAACCCACCATTTGAATTTTCCCACCTTTTTGGAATTTTTCAAATGTCATAGAATCTATTTGATTCTCGGCGACAAATGAGACTAAATAGCCGAAGGTCGTGGGTTCGAATCCCAATCGTGCCATTGGTTTTTTTTATCTCAACCAAATGCTTTAATTAATTGAAAGATATTAATTGGTCAAGAAGACCACGAAAACTATTGAATTTATTAAGTTAAAATTAAGTATACTTCACTACAACTCTCCGTGGCCATTTCAATTCTCGCCGGGAATCAAATAGATTGCAAGACATTTGAAAAATGGCAAAATAAAGGGAAAATTCAAAAGGTGGGGTTGACATGGGAAGTTGGTGTCGAAATCACGATAGCTCAAGGGGTAGAGTAGCGGTGTATCAAGCTGAAGGTCGTAAGTTCGAATCCCGCTCCTGACACTGTTTTTTTTATCTCAACTAAAAACCTTACTTAATTGAAAGATTTTTATTAACTTCACTAATTTCGTGGTCTGCTTGACCAATTAATATATTACAATTAATTAAGGTTTTTAGTTGAGATAAAAAAGTCAATGGCACGCGCGGAATTCGAACCCACGATCTTCGGCTAGATACGTCGCTGCTGTACCACTTGAGCTATCGTGACCTCGGTCCACTCGGACATCAATTTCCTATCTCAACCCCACCTTTTGTGTTTTCTCTCCTTTTTGCCATTTTTCAAATTCGTGTAATCGGATTGGATTCTCGGCGACAAATGAAATGGCCACGGAGAGCTTTAGTGAAGTATACTTCATTTTAATTCATTAAATTCACTAATTTCGTGGTCTACTTGACCAATAGGCTTGAGATGAAAGCTGAAGATCGTTGGTTTGAATCCCGCTCATGCCATTGACTTTTTTATCTCAACTTAAAACCT